AACAACTTCGAGTAGGACTCTATAGTAAAGATTGGTACAATATATTGCCAAAGCATTGATAGAGCGAACGGTCTTTGAGTCTGACAAGCAAAACAGAACCACCGAGCTATCACACCAACGCGCAGAAAAGTGCCTCTCGGATCGTGGAGTTGGGCTGCAGCTGTGGCATGTGAAACATGGAACAGGACCGGCGATGCTCGGGAACTCCGGTTGTGCAAGGATATACAATGGCGTTCACATGGCAGCTTTTGCATCGGAAGTTGCTTTGTTTTCCCAAAGGCTGTCGAAAGCCAGGAATTGTAGCCCACGGTCCGCCGGCAACGCGATATCTTCCGGTGCACAAGGCTGCTGCATGTGTTAGGTCAGACCTCACCGCTTTTTCTTGCTAAGCAAAGCTACAGCTGCGCAAACTTTCAATGGTACTGCGAGGAACTGTATTGACCTGCATCTCCGCGAAGTGATCTCCCCATGATATCTCACATGATGGGCTGGAACACGCGAAGGCCAAGCATTTTGTGGATCAAAATTCAGAGCTGTCGATATGAGGAATTATCAGCAAGAGCAGCGACCTAAACTGCACTCTCAATTGAGTAACGGCCACTCTGCTAATAGCAAGGATTCTAACGGGCTTCAAATCATCGAGCCTGTAGAGAGCGAGGCCTCGGGACTTTGTGGACATGACTGAGGATGCCTTGTCCTGATGAACAATCCTCATATCGACAGCTCTGTCAAAATTGCCTATTCGGGAATGTGCAGAAATACCCGATTCTTCTTCCCCACAAGCACGACCACCGGATTCACGACATCAAGTCTTGCCATAGCTTCACGGTCTAGACCATTTATGACTCATCGACCAAGTCGTGAAGCTTAGATGGTACCATCCATGTAGGTGAGTTTCGACGCGCCAAAAGCTGGCCCACCAGAATAATCTGGCTCTTCCCGTCACGTCGCTCTGTCAGGACTCCACCGTATGGACTTCTCAGATATTCAGCGTTGCAAACTCACAGACTTGCGTATTCACACATCAAAATTAGCAAGATGGCCAGCATACTTGCAGCCTGGCTTCCTGCCCTAGTGCTGGGTACTCTGATCTTCCGATTTGCGGTCAAATTATACAATGCCCGAATGGTGTTCAAGAAGCTCAAAGCTAGCGGTATTGTAAGTCAAGCCTACGCCATTCGAGAGGTATGCTCACAATATTAGCCTATCATGGAGCATTCATTCGCTCTCGGCCATCTACTGGTCGTCAGACAGTTCTATTCGGATTGGGCAACCGATGCCAACTTCATCCAAACATTTGGACTTTACATGAGCAAGTACTGGACCAAATTCTTTCCTGACGAGAAAGCTTGCCCTCCTGTAGTGTACGTTGACATATGGCCGATCGGAACACCCATGGCCTTTTCCATGGAAGCATATGTCTCCAATCAGATTGAGCTTGGGAAAAGTCTTCCGAAATCGCCAATGCAGGGAGAGTTCCTGCGGCCTATAAGTAACGGACGAGATCTTAACTGTATGCACGGCGAAGAATGGAAAATRTGGCGACAGAGGTTCAATCCTGGGTTCAGCAAGATCAACGTGCGTGGTTGGGTCCCCTCCATCATCGAGGAAGTGGAGTCTTTCGTGGACGTGATTCGTGGGTATGCAGGATGTTCCGGAGAATGGGGTCCAGTCTTCCAGTCCGAAAAGATAGCGGGTGATTTGGCGTTTGATGCTACTGGAAGACTCATAGTGTGCGTGATACTCGAGTACATCTCATCAGCATGCTGACGACTCTCAGCAACCAGCGATTCAGATCTCTCTCATCGAACCCGGAGCGCTTCGCAGTGTTGTATCGTCAACAGCTTCAGGGCATGGAGATAACGCTCAACATCTTCAAACTGATTTGGAGAGCAACCCCGATGTTCAAGTGGGGCATTAATCGTAGAAGAAGGGAACTCTTCAATCAGATTCGCCCGTTTATCCTAAGAGGCATAGAGGAGTGGGACCAAAAGCCAAGCACCGTTGTACAGGCCGCTGTCAAAGAGTACAAAGGTGAAGCAGAGAAGATAACCAAAGAAACAATCGACGAAGACTTCGTGGAGCAGGTCTTCTGCCAGCTGATGATATTCTTCTTCGGCGGCGAGGATGCAATTTCTATTGTGATCCCATGGATGATCCATCGCCTGGCATCCAATCCAGATGTACTCCGGGAGCTCCGCCTTGAGCACGATACTGTGCTTGGACCAGACCCCGGCTTCGGGTTGCACGTGATCAAAGACTCTCCGCACCTGCTCGATTCATTACAGTACTCGCATGCCGTGATCAAGGAGACTTTGAGGATGAATCCCGCAACCATTACGATCCGCGAAGGCCAAGCAGATTTCTCGCTCAAGATTGACGGAGTAGATACCAATTGGCCGACTGAGGGCTTCGATCTTTTTGATAGCTCAATCACCATCCATAGAGATCCGAGGAATTTTGTGCGGCCAATGGAATTCCTACCTGAGCGGTATTTGGTACCAGAAGGTCATGAGCTCTACCCGCCGAAGAACACATGGCGTGGCTTTCAACTCGGTCCGAGACAGTGCATCGGCCAGGAGTTTGCCATTGTTCTTCTCAAGCTTGTCCTGGTCTCGTTAGTCCGTACCTTTGATATGGAGATGGCCTGGGACGCTTGGGATGCTTCTCAAGAAGATCAAGGTGGTAAGGTAGATGGCCGTCATGTGGAAGGCGAGAGGATGTATACCACTGGCAAGGCGACTTCACATCCCAAAGGTGGCGGGCCAATCCGTGTCAAATACAGAGCCTGAAACAGTGCTTCGAGGGCAGGAGTGAGGAGAAAACCAGCTCCTCCCAGAGCTGGCTCCCTCGCTTGTTTAACAGGCTACTCTGCTAGTGATTAGGAATCTAGCAGGCCTAGAGTCGTTAAGTCTGTAGAGAGCGATGCCTTAGGTCATAGCGGGAATGAATGAGGATTTCTTGTCCCGCTGGATAATCCTCATCTCGACAGCACTGGCTCGGCCTCGGTCCGACTCCACGCAGTCCCCTTCTGCCAATCAAATCCTACTGAGATTGGGACTTTAGAGGTAGGTATGTAGGTAGAGATTGAAGTCGGCCTTGGCTACGAAATCCAGCCCGACTTCATCTGCTGATGGATCCATCCGCTGTACTCGATAAGACGTCGCTCTCCGCAAGACTGCYCTCCACCCGTCTCCTTCCCAGACCGGGGAGAGAGAAAGCAGCAAGGGAGCTTACCCCGACTACATACTTGGATGGGTTGGAAGATGCAAGTTCTCGGATGGCACAGGGAAACCACTTGTATGTCGCCGTACACCTTCTTGATCCACTTCTTTCAAGATGAAGATTGAGGATGATGTATGCTCAAGGACTCCGTGTCCACCACGTTGCATATCGAGGAGAGACCTGCGAGATATCTGGTGAGTTCGCCAGTTCATTGACTGAGGTGCGAGGTATCTGCACCCGATACCGTTCGGAAGGCTCCTCGGCAGCGCCTCCGACACGCTCTTTCCACCCCCGTTTGGCGGGGTCCGGGTCCTTTTGTTTTGTTTGCTATCTTTCCCACCAGAATGCTTGGCGGAGCGGGAAGCCACCATGAGATGTTTGTTGGTGAAATTACCACCGAACAACATCATCATCAAACATGTGAGTTTCATCCCCATATTCCTGCAACTCCTACCCCGCTGACAGTAGATACAGGTCGTCCAATCCGAACGGCAAGCGAGTGTTTGATAACAATGGTGCGAATGGTGACGGGAAGCGCCTGGCAATCACGAGCCAGGCCTGGCACACGGCGGCCAACGACAGGTTGGTCGCACTACGTGCCGAGGTGGCAAGAGTGGAGGCTCGGCTGCGAGCGAAGCGAATCCCGTTCCCACCGAGGCCGGGCGAGGAGGAAGAGAAGTGGATGCACGATGTGTTGGTCCACGAAGGGTTTGGTCAACGTGCGACCGCTGGTGGCAATGCGCCACCAGCTGGCCGTGTCAGTGGTGACGATGAGTCACCAGCACACGACACGGAGGGGGACCACGAGGTGGGTGATGCCGCTCCGGCTGGGGATGCACCGGTCGGGCCAGATGGCCCGACAATTACGGGTGATGCCACTGCGGCTGGGAGTGTACCGGTCGGGCCAGATGGCCCGACGATGATGGGCGCTACTCAGCAGCAGCAGCAGCAGCAGGGGTCGGCGGTGGTGGAGAAGTCGGCTCCACCAGAGAGAGAGAAAAAAAGGAAGAGGGTCGAGCAGACTGCAGATCGCGTTGCGTCTGCAGGCGACTCCTGCATCCCTTTCTTTGTGGTCGGGCAGTGTGTTGGTGAGTGTGGCAAGAGCCACACGGAGATTTCGGAGGAGTTTTGGCGGGATCCGGCGGTGGATGACTTTGTGGCCGAGTTCCTTGGGTGTTTAAAGGTACGAGGGAGTGGAGGAAGGAGTGCTAGGCATAGCCCCTGTTATATAAGTATGTTTAATTCATAATGTCAATCGACACTGTCCATCGCATCTAGCTGTGTCTTCAAATCCAGAGCGTGCTGTATAGAGCAGTCGATACGAGGAATCGTCAACAATAGTACCGCTCTGAACTGCTCTCTCGATTGATTAACGGGCCACTCTACTAGTGACAAGGATTCTAGCAGGTCTAGAATCGTTAAGCCTGTGGAGAGCGATGCCTTGGAACATCGTGGAGATAAACAAGCATGTCTTGTCTTGATGAATAATCCTCCCCTCGACAGCACAACGCCTTCGATCCCTACCAGCGAAGGCTCAAACCCAAGGCGGCCTCATTCTCTCAAGATGAAAGATTGCCTCCCAAGATCGAAAGCACGCTGCAAGTGACCACGCAAACGATAGATCTGTGCTTTGGCGTACTCCGCTTTAGGATGAGGGTGGTGCAATGTGATGCTGCGAGTCCATACAACACCCTGGATTCCTGCCAGCGACGGGCTGAAGCGGACCGCCGAGCCATCCAGCGAACGTACTGCGTCGAATCCAATGCTGCAGAGTGCACGCTCGACAGCGGTCCATGCTAGCTCGCCGGGCTGTGCCCCTTGTGTCATGTTGAAAATGACGTCGAAGACCTGGTATGTGGTAGCATCTACTGAGAGCATCAGCGGTGCGATGTCTTCTTCCCGGTCGACGAGGTTATCCGGGACATCTTAGCAGAACGTTAGCCAGGAAATCTCCTTCCAAAGTGGCGATTTTATCACTTACCTCGTACAACAGGAACCAAAGGTCTGGTTTTTGCCTTCACGCGAGCCTTTTGGGTGAGTAAGCGAGCTAGCGAAGTTGTGCCCTCATCCACCGCGAGACTCTTGAGCTGCTCATCAAACACAGGTGAATCTCGAGCTACCCACGGCTCTGTCTGCCTGAGGTTCTCGCACATGGCGAAGGTGGCTCGGAGGGGCTCCAGGATATGTTCGGGAAGGGCGCCTGGTACATCCCATGCTTTGCTCAGAGCCTGCCAAAAGTCGTTAAGCTTGTCTTCGGTCTGACATCGCCTCGTGCGTGTCTTTTCAGAATCTGGCTCTGCTTCAGGATACTGAAGATCGCTACTTCRGAAGACGGCCCCTGTGCATACACGCTCGGCGATCCTGCAGAAAGCCAAAAGACCCACAACGGTTTCGCCCGTGGCGGCTTGAGCGTCCTCGTTGTGTTCCTCCCACCCAGCAGAAGCTGGCCACATGAACCGTAGCTCCTCGTGGAGCTTACCCGAGACAAGAATGTTGGCGATCTGGTCCCTCAGAAAGGGGCTGACGAAAGCGATAGCACTTCGCTTGGATGTCAGAACATTTTCCATCTCGCTCATGATGCATCGATATCCGACGCTGCCAGGCTCGCTCYCGGCGAGCATCTTGATCGTGTGGAAAGCCCACTCAGGGTCGCAGCTCTTGTTGTCGAACGTAGGACGTAGCGAAGAGGTATTCAGATGAGTGGGCGCAACGTCAGGCTTCTTMTCCAGCACTTCCCTTGCGTCAAAGAACTTGCGCATCTTGGCTGAGGCAGGAAAGGCCCACGCCAGCTGCTCGCGATCGATTTTGGATATAGCCTGGAGGTGATGTTGTATGTGGCACAGAACTTTCTCCACTTCGCGTGGGTACTTCTCATGAGCGGTGCGACAGGTTTCACCACGGAACTCATCGGCGCCCAGTTTATCTGTCCATTCAACAACCAACATCCACAGAATGAGGCTGCGGAATGAGCTCATGACCAACAACGAGCAGGCAAAGCCAGTCATCAAGCATGCGAAAGCCTTGTTCTTGCTATCCATTGCAGCTGTGATCGGCGCATTGGGCTCTTCCGTTGCGTACAACTTCCTACGACTCTGGAGATATCCCGGAACTTCTGGAATATGAGCCTCTTGATCGCGCAGATGTTGCACAAAGTAACCTGCATCGCCGACCAGGCTAAGCACATTGTCGCGAGCTTGCGAGGCCCTGCTCTCAACCAGCGACAGCAAGTCTTTGATGGACATGCTACATGGTAGCTGAGTCTCAGCCCGGACGGCAGAGTTACGAAGGCTGGCAGGCGGGCCGCTGGCTAACGCAAGGTCTGCATACGGTGCACAGTCTGGGAGATTCTTGAGATGCTGCATCGTGGTTTCGAGGCCTCGCTCTTTCGAAAGCGCCTTGCAGATGTTCGAAAGAAAGGATAGCAGGCGTCTCTGAATACCAAGTGCGTACACGGCAGACAGAGGATGAAGTCCGAGATAATCGATATCGGCTTCCTCGAGTTCGGTAGTAAGCGCGAACTTGCCGTATGAAGTTTTGTCAAGAACCACTCTCCAATCCTCGAGCTCTTTCATAGTTGCGTGGCCCTCCAAGGCAACACCGGCATTGTCAAGATCACTGACGATGAACTCGAAAGGCATGATTTCGCCACGAGATCTAAGCAGAGCAAGAAGGACTCCATCAAGACTCAGATCCTCAATATTCAGCTGCGGAGTGTCGAAGGACTGCAGCGATGTTCCCAATTCTCCAATTCTGTATTTCTCGGCGTCCTGCTGATGTTCAAATTCAGGTCGGTGTGTCGAAGGGATGTCGGGTAGGGTGGATTTAAGCACCGATTTGCGTTGCGCCGGTGTCTTGCTGTCCCAAGATGTTAAGATGACATCTCCGTATACTCGGAGACATTGCTGAATATGTTCGCGCGCGTAAACAATCTGCTTCGCACGCTCCCTAACTACCTCTGAAGTGG